AAGCATCATTAACCAAAAAGGATGGCATGAAGGAAAAATAATAAATCAACAAGCAAAATTCTCGTATAACGTAGAAGAAAAAGATAAAATAGTACGAAAACACGCAGATCAACTACGAATAAGGGAAGAACCAGACGAAACCAAATCAATAATACCAATTGAACCAAGTCAAAAAGGAAGGCAACCGCGTTATCCAACAAGGGAACGAAAGCCAACAAAAAGATTAATAGATGAACTTGAACTTGGTAATAAAAAGATTGAAAGACGATCTTAACTTGGTGGGAAAGAAGATATGTTATAATTTTACATCGGCATTTATTAGGGAGTTGAAGTTCATGCAATGATGAGGCTGAACTAGACCGCGCCCAAGTCTATATCCTAAGGTTACTCTCAAAAGTTCCTTAGTTAAGAGATTCCCCATAATTTTATTCGGCAAGGCTTACAGCCATTCATGGCCTCCAATTTTATAAGATGAAATTTAAAAGAAAAATTTTTTCCAGGAAAGATTTAAAAAGTGTTTCCAAAATCTCTGAAATATTTCAAAAGAAAAAACGAGGAAGAGAGGAATAAATGTAGATTTTTCCTAATAATATACAGGCATTTGCTAATAATATAAAGGCTTTGGTGAGCTGGGAGAAATGACATGATGATACCTAGACTGACGATAAATTCACACTAATATAATTTAAGGCGTCGTTGGATGCAAATCAGATGGAGACCACATGACACGCCTTTTTAGTAACCTATATAGGATCCAGAATACTTTAAATTATTTGAATTTTGTCTGCTAAATACATATTTCTTGTGAGAATAGCCATGAAATAATTAAGAGGTAGGATATTATTTTACTTAGCTTACATTAAATTTTTTTATATGTTATACGTAACCAAAACGATATCATTATGACGACATCAGCTGTTTTTCATTGATGTACACTTAAAATGAATGCATCGTCAGTCCCGATATCATTATATGTCATTGGCTGGGAGATATATTTAAAAATTTTCCATGTTAAAAAAATTGTCAAAAATTTTGGATAAACTCGGATGAATGTTTGATAAGGGTGATCCAATGGGGAAAAATTATTAAGGTCTACGATTTTGCAGCCCGCTATCTATATGGAATGTTATCAAGGAAGGAGATTTCCGATTTCGGCTTGTTAAGAGTTAATCTTATATTTTATTAATTTGTTTCGAGGAAACTTAAAATTTCTATTATTTTTGAAAGGGAACCACAAATAGCTACATCAAGTTACCATATGTTTAAAAAAATTTCAATCAAGAACTTGAGGAAAATTATGGCATGGGAACGGTGATTCAGAGAACGTTCTGCATAAAATATAAATTTTTTTAATTAATATAAGAAAATAGATATTATATAAAAGTATTAAATCTCACTGAAACCACTTTTCGACAATCAAATTCATCACCTTAGTATAAATGATAATATTTTAAATAGTTGTATTAAAAATAATGAATAAAATTTGCACAATAAAATTAGATATTTTTTAGGAACAGGTTCAGAAAGGGAACGCAATGTCCTTGTTCCAGATCCCTGATTTTAAAATTTTTTGATCATATTCTAGTGTAAAACCATTTTATGTCAGGTAGTAATACTAAGGGCTGTGTTCCAAAAAACCCTATTTTAGGACGGGACGCGTTTCAGGTACATCTCAGACTAAACTGCGTTCCCACCTACAATATAACCAAACTTTTATAATATTCTTGAACCGTTTTATAAATATCTTAATTTAAAATTATTTTTTGAAAATTTATGCTACTTTTCCTCAGAGATTTATGACTATTATTTCTTTATATTTTGTATCCTAAATCTTACCGAACCCCAACCTTAATGTTTAGAATCTGAATCATAACCAAACAATTTTTTTTACATATAACGATAAATATATTTAATTTTATCATAAACTTAATTGATACTGCAAAGCCTAATTAATTAACAAAATATTTGTGTGGTTGATTTGATTCGACACCATCTGATTCATTACTTTCTATGAATCTTTTGAATTCTTTTAGGAATCGTCTTTAAGTTATGAAAGATAGTGATTTGTTTTTCAATTTTTTTAAACTTTAAATGATATCCAGCAGTTTTCAATTTTTTTTTATAATCACATTGTAAAAATTTATTTTTCAAAATCCAATCGGTGGGCTAATCTAGAAGTTTGCTTTTTGCTATGATCGATAACCAATATTTATTGAAAATCGATTTAATTTAAGAATAAATTTAATTATTTTTACACGAATAAATTACAAATAAAATGTATGAAAGTGTGTTGTCATCTATTATTGCTTAGCTATTGATAAAGTGACAGGGAATGCTCTTAGATGTGAAATAAATCCTATAAAACAGGTAGGTTTTTTTAGTTTCATGTTTAAAAAGTGGAAATAACATGTAGGCTTCCTATGGGGCAGGCCCTAGATAGTCAAATGGCCCATTTTTTACCCTATTAAGATTATAGCCAAAATAATATTATGTATGCCTCGAAATTTGGCAAATAGAGGTCCAAACCTTTCTATGAGTAAAATCTCCAGATCTACAGTATTATTTCAGCTAAAATCTGAATCGGGGCCGTTCAACAACATTAACCTAGACCATACTAAAATATAAAGAGATACATATAAAAGCAAGGAATCTCAAGTTAGAGGTAAATTCCCAGAATATAGTACGTATGATACCGGATTTAAACCTAAGATGGATATAATTTTTTTCTAAAACTAAATGTTGTAGTTGTGGTAATATTCAAATTTATAGATTAAGAAAAACGAAAGATAGGCAAATTACTTTTAAACAAAATTACGAAGCCGAAAGATATTCAAATCTACTCAAGGAAAAAGACAAATTGAGACTATGTAAATGTTGATTAAAGAAAAAGGATATATAATAGAGAAATTATGATGCAAAAAATGATTTAAATTTTACTTTTATTTTTCTATTATTATTTTGATTATGTTTGTCACTTTTTATTTGATTATAGTTATTTATTTAATAAAGATTAATAATCAGAATTTAGTATATATAATTTTTATTTCTATTTGATTAGATTCTGATTCCCAATATCAAAACTCTCAATTGTGACAATGGTGTTGGAGAGAGGAGGCGACAGAGCAATTACTTTCAGTCTAATGCAAATCAATACATACGGTGGGACAAGAAGAAGTGTCAAACTGTATTCTAATACAAAAAAAAAATTCCAGAAGAACGTAAGAAAAATAGGTAAATAAAAGTAGGAAAAGTATTTAGAGAAGTAGATGGGTCTGAACTTCATTGAGGGTAAAGGGGTTGTAGAATTTAATATAAATATATAATTATTTAGCATATTTTGACTATATTATTATTTTAAGATCTAATTTAGAGGAAAAAGTGAGCAAATATTGCGAAGTTAAGAAATTGATTATGTAAGGAAGAATTAGATTAGAGGCGATAACCTTAAGAAGGAGTGGTCATATGAAATATTCAGAAGTTATAAAGGGTTAAATAGATTATTTTAGGTAGAGGTATTAGATGCGATTACCCGAAACCTTTAGACAAAGATCAATGAGAATAAAGATATCTTAAGACAAAGGCGATATCCTGGCAGGTGCCAACCGTCGTAAAAGACCCGAAAGTCTAAAAGATCTATACGGTTTAGATGCCAAGAACTAATCAATAATAAGAGGACGTTCAAAAAACAAGCGACTAGATAGAATGAATGGTCAAGACGTTCGTGCTGCAATCGTTAGTCGCTCACCAATATAGCCAAGTCTAAGATATGAAAGTCGACGATCATAGAAATAGGAATTCGTGGAAACAATCGTTAATCGCAGACAAATTATCGTCAATCGTTTACCGTCATTAGTTACCAGAAACCGTTAGAAGCAAGCAAAGATTAGGATAATTTACCAAAGGGATTAAAACTAAATATAACTAAAAGAGACTAGAAGAATTAATCGTGAATCATAATAACAGGCGTGAATCGAGTTCGTCAATTGCCTATAGAGATTAACAAGAAAAAAGAAATAAATCTAGATGCAAATTGAGACTATGTAAATGTCGATTAAAGAAAAAGGATATATAATGGAGAAATTATGATGCGAAAAATGATTATTTTTTGTTTAACTTAGATTTTACTTTTATTTTTCTTATATTAATTTTATTTTTTTTTTATTTTGATTATGTTTGTCACTTTGTATTTGATTATAGTTATTTATTTAATAAAGATTAATAATCAGATTTTAGTATATATAATTTTTATTTTTTTTAGGTTCCAACTTTTCTCAATATGACAACTAACGATTGTGACACTAACCATAAACGCTTAATAAAAGAGATAGAGTGGAAAGATGAGCTAGGGTTAATATTATATTAAAAAATAATTAATAAAATTTTATTGGCACATAGCTATATTGATGTGTTTACCTGATCTAAAGGTTTTTTATTTTACAATATAAGTGGCGGACATATGGGTGCAATTTCTAAGTTTAAATCGCCTTCTTGGAAAAAATAAAATATTATTTATAATTTGTAAATTTTTTAAAGATTTCCATTCCTTCGACTTTGAATAAATATACATACCTTTTGTGTTAGGTTAGCCCAAGTCTTATTTATTTTACTAGATAATTACTCAAATATAAAATAAATTAAAGAGTTATTATATTATAATTATGAATAATTCTTACCATTAAAGTGGTAGAAGAATGTAATTAATCGAATAAAATGAGGTAAAGAAAGGTGACAATAAATATGAACATTGGACATTCACTAGATTATTATATAATGGGAAAAATAAAATTATGATAGTTATAAATTGGGTATTAAATAGATGAATTTATCCATTAGACCTTCATCCCTATCTAATATATATTACTCTACTAACTCCGTAATCCGCATAATAAATAAAATAACAATTCAAGTATAATTCTAACTTTTAAAATGTATAATTAAAAATCAAGGTAAATTTATTTGTAAATATTATGACTAATTTTATTCACAATAAATTTGTCTAATTAATATTTTTAATTCATCGGTATTTATAAATAATTAAATAAATACTCTACCCAAATTCAGATTTTAAAAATAATTTTATCATGAAATGCATGAAAAATTTATAAATATAGATGTTTTTCGCAGACTGTTATTGGCTAGGTAGAACAACAGCCTTTTCATTTATATAATTGTTGCCATCGCTCCAGCAATTATTTTGGCAAGTGTACACCAACACTGAGAAAAAATCTAAACAATATTCATCTATTAAAAAATAAGAGTAAATCAAAAATGTCATTTAAATTTGAATAATAATTAAATATTTTTAAAGAGAGTTTAATTACATAATTGTAGATTTAATAAAATCTAACAATTAAAATTTTCTGTTTGTTATATATGGAGTTGGGCAGCATCGCGATCTAAGATACAAGATTAACTTTAAATTATGAAATTTTTAATATATTTATATCTGTATCGATATTTTTAACATGATTTTTTTAATGGATTCTTAAATTAATTTTGTTTTTTCCTATTATATATTTTAAAATTAATTATTATTTTTGACAAATTAACTTTATAATATGCAAATTTAATATTTTAATTTTATGAGTTCTTGTTCATATTTTATTTATATTAATTATTGTATTAAAATAATACTAATCTTATATTATAGGATGATTCATTTACGTTTAAATGTCCTAAATTTTTGAGCCCTTTGAAATATTTGTGAACCAGGGTTAGAGTTTATTTTGACTTCAGCTTTATAGGTTATCTTATTGTGTAGAAGGAATAGATTAAGATACTTTTATTTAATAAAAGTTTTAGATATTTATAAGATACTTGTATCAATATATGAGATATTTTTACAAAAAATCTATATCTAGTTAGTGCCAGCCCAACTCTGAGTATACGAATTTTAAAATACCATTTAAGGTGTTGAGGTTTTTGTTGTCCGTTTCGAGTCGCAAATAATTAAGAATTTGAGGCATTAGTTGTAATTCGAATACGCGTCTAGCTCCGCAAGATTGACAAGTAGAGAATGTTTTATCATTTTTAGCGGCCTCCATCAAACATTTGTTTATTTCGTTTTCGATTATGAGTGGTTCGCCATTCAGTGAATACCTTTAATGCCAATTTTTTTTAAAATATTTGTTATTCATATATAAGGATAAGACTTAATGATATATTACTAGCATCTATATTATATTCAAATATCCTCACTAGAATTAAAGTAGTGCGTTACCGTTAATCTGCAAAAAAAATATTTTTAAAAAAATAATTTATTTTTATATCAAGTTAAATTTAAAAAAAATAAATTTCTTTAAAAATACTTATTAATAAACATATTTTATAAATAAGTATTATTTAATCATATTTTTTTTTTACATCTTCGCGTTCTTATTATTGAAGAGATGAAGAAATTACTGAAAATGAGCTATGGAAATTGAAGAAATAGTAGGTCACGATATTCTAAAATGAACCCGTTAAAAGTCCAATTTTAAAATGAATTCAAATAAAACTAAATGTTCCCTATCTGACTAAAAATTGTAATTAATTAATGTCCTTTGTAATAAAAGTAGATATATATCTTTTTAAATTAGTATGAATATAAAAATAAGGATGTTATTATTTTAAAAAATTATATTTTCTACTTAAAAATGATCGAGACGAAAAAGTTAGGAAGAGGACGGAGATAAGTATCCGGTTTAAAATTAGCGTTTTTGAGATGCGTCCCCTCCAAAAAATAAAAGAAGGGATATGAGAGTCGGGCGTTTGATCAACACTTATAAATTTTGAGTCAAATAATTTTTCTTATTGTGATCAAAAATCTCTTAATATTGATGTCAGGACAATAGTATTTACCTTGGACAATATGTGCCTCAAGAACGAATAAAGAGAAGGAACATTTCAATTGAAAAAATAGTTTTTTAAATTTCATAATATATTTTATTTATTATTGCGTACATCATATTTGAATACAAAACCATAAAAAAGGGGGTTTCAAATGCTAAGGTAAAGTGCAAATGCTTAGGTAAAAATTTTTATATATTCTATTAATTGGAGTAAGATTCATTTTCTTATGATATGTATAACTTATAAAAATTATATTATTAGATATAATCAATAAAAAAATGAATAGATATTAATAGTTGTATTTCCTTTTATCTCATAATAAATAGTATAATTACATTTTAAATTTCATTAATATTAAATCCGCAAGTTGGCGTATTATTATTTAAAAAGGTGTTTGACGTGTTTCACATGTTTGACTAAACTGCAAATGCCAAGGTAAATTACAAATGCTTTGGGTAAATTTGACATAGTCTCTATTAATTGGAGTGAGTTCATTTTCTTATGATATGAATAACTTATAAAAATTATATTATTAGATAAAATCAATATAAATGAATAGATATTAATAGTTGTATTTTCTTTTATCACATAATAAATAGTTTAAATCTATTAATATTTATCTAAAAAAAGTATTATAATAACATTTTAAATTACAATAATATAAAATCCGCCAGTTGGCGTATTATTATTTAATTTTTTTCCATGAAATAATAAAATCCCAACTTGCGGATTTAATATTAATGAAATTTAAAATGTAATTATAATTATTTTTAATTTAATTATACTAAAGGATTTAAACTCTTTATTATGAGATAAAAGGAAATACAACTATTAATGTCTATTCATTTATTATTGAATATATCTAAGAATATTATTTTTTATAAGTTATTTATAGAATAAGAAAATGAACCTCGCTCTAATTAAGAGAGAATATAACAAAAAAATTTCTAAGCATTTGCAGTTTACCTTAGCATTTGTAGTTTAGTCAAACCGTAAAAAAAGGTATAAATTTTAATATAAATTTTTTATATTTAATACACATATAATTTATTTATTTCTATAGTTAATTTTGTTAAAATTAAAAGAGCGCTATATCAATATAAAAATTCTAAAATACATAGTTTACAACTTTAGAATAGTTGCATTTTTCCATTTTATAAATTATGTCATTTCTCTTGTACAAATTTTTAAGGAACATGAAGTTAAAAATAAAAGAAATGTTTTATTTATATATATTGTTATATTCATTAATTTAAATTTTAAGGTATATGTAACCAGATACATGATGCGCACAAATGCAATATGAATTTGGGCTTTTTTGATTATTTTTTTATATTATCAAATGTTTTTTATTTGCTATCTATAGTGGTACTGTATTCCAGAAGATAGTTCTGATTCTAACCTTAGTATTTCATCAGATGAGGAAATTCTTGATTCAAGATCAGCAGATGTTGATTCTAGCGGAAATGCGGTATTTCTTGGTACCACTACTTTTCAATTTTAAATTGTGTTTTGATAATTGGTTAGGTGGTATAGAACTGCAAGTAATATTTGCCCAAAAGGGAGTATTGCTACAGCGAGAGCTAATAGAATTTATAATTGCCAGTTTCCAACTGAAAAAGAATTCTAAAAGATGGAGCTTGGATTCACATACACCTCATAAATCTTGATTAATGTATAGGCGAGATTTTATAGCTTTAAAGGTACCGGTAAAAGAACAGATGCCATTATTAATATTTAAAATTTCAAAGCAGATACTCTATATATGTAACAAAAATATGAACGCTAGCGTAAAAAAACGAATATAAATTGACATCAAATATAAAGAAAAATCTAGCAAGGTGCTGACAAGTCTTATTATGCAGAAAAATAAGACAGGATTTAATAGCACATTGGCCAAAATTTAGTAAAGTCAATAAAATAGGCCTAGTCCTACATGACCCGAAAAATATTAAAGTTGCATTTCCTTTCAATTTAAATTTAAAAACAAAGTCATTTTTAAACACGTTTTTTCAAGCGAGAAAAAACAAATATAGCGTAATAGAGATATCGACCCTCTAGTTCGTATTTTTTTTTATAGGTGTTTTGTCGTATTTCCAATTGATTCCCAAAATTTCCAATAGATCAACAAATATCAAAGCTTATAAATTTAGAAATTAAAGTATATATTATTTAATTTACATATAATAATTTATATTTTTAAGAAAATTAAACATAATAATGTATATTTTATGGAGGATGTGATTATGTGTTCCATAAATCTGGAAAGAAAGCAATCTATTACATCTGTAGAAGAAAATGTGGAGGAAGAGCTAAACTTATGTTACTCAATTTAGCATCACCATAAAACATTTATAAACTTGCAAACCAATCCAAAGTAAATAATTTTGATAATATTTAATCTTAAATTATATCCTTAATTACTGAATTAATGCTTGTGTATTTATATTATAGTAACAAATGTATGTACTGCAGAATGCCAAAGTATATATCAAATTAATATTTACAATAATTTTTCAAAGCTATTAATCTACAAGATCCAGTTTTGGATAACACAAATAGGCCAGTTTTGGATAACACAAATAGGCCAGTTTTGGATAACACAAATAGTCCAAGTAAATTTTAATTATACTGGTATAACTATTTTTTAACAAAGTTATGAACCAAGAGGTCTTGGGGGAAATAGATGCCCATAACAGATATACCATTAGTCCAAGTAAATAGTATCTTATGCATACTATTTTGTTTTATTAATATCAAGCTAGTTTGATTTTTTTAACGATTAAATGCGTCGTTACGATTGAAGTGAACAAGTTCCCTTTTAATAATTATATTATGCAATAATTGTGAATTTACATCTAATATGGCAGATATGTTGTTATAGAAATATTTTTAACAATTTTCATAAATTGTATTTAATTTCATATTTTTATTGAAATATTATAAAAAATTACATAAAAACTAGCGCTGTAAATGTTACCTCAAAAAAGAAACGCGTTAATCGCTCGTTACATCTAAAGGAACGCGTTACCATTACTCTTTTTGTGTAAAAAGGAACGCGCGTTACAGCTATTCAAAAATGTAATGGGCCAATCATTACTTATTAAAAAATAATCTGTACGTGTGTTGTTTTTTAAAGGAATCAAGTCTGCCTTTTCTTTGTCAAGATCTTTTCTCAAACAGGAAATAAGTTCAAACTTCCTACCTTCGCTAACATATATTTTTACGAGGGTAAAGATTTAAATAGCGGGTGAATTATTACTGATAATACATATTTAATTGAAACAAAATATTATCAAAATATAAAGTGTGAACAATACTTCAACTGTATAACTTTTATCTTCGTCTTGCAGAATTACATTACTAAGTGTATTACAAAATGAAATTATTTAAAGCTATTTTTTTAATATTATTATAGCTATCGAGGGAGTGAGATTTCCCAAATGCATTTTTCTCTTTCTAAAATCGAAAGAACCGTAGAGGGTCCATAACCTATAAACTCTTATATAGCCATACAATATTCATCAATGAACTACTTGTCATCTGAAAATCTCTGTAATTTGGATTTATCACAAGATATGTCAAATTTATGTCAATTCTCCTTAATAAGACTATATTAATTTCAAGGAGTTGTAGAAAGAGTTCCATCTTATTATAGCCAGTTTAAACAGTCATCCAATCTTTTCCTTAAGAGTGGCTGCATTCTAAATGGATTGATTGCTCAAAGGTTTCAGGATTAACTTCAGTTTAGTTATACGGATATTGAAGGATTTTTTTAGGAAGTATTAAACAATGAAGATGATAGCAACTGACGGTGGAATGGCATTTACCAGTTAGCGTTTAAAGCGTTTTGTGAGATGCATGTAACATGTTGTTACGGCTCCAAACCATCCCAGCTCCAAGGGTCAAGCCTAAGAATGGTTGCAGTGGTGAAATCGTGGATTTGGGTATATCAATTATTCTCTAATAATAGTAGGAATGAAAAAGAGATGTCGAACGTTGTATTTCGAATTGATAATTATTTTTTCATCCTTTCAATCATATTTGAATTTTCCTTGAATATAAAAATGTACACTTGTTGACCTATGCGAAATTTATTTTTTTTCACCATGCATCCGCCCTTTTCATTTCCTGTTCTCTTTAACAAATCCAGCAATAACAAAGTCTTTCCTCACAAAAATCCTTCCTCCGGCGACACCTCTTTCCTACTATTATTATAGAATAATTGAGATAGCCATCTTTAACTGTCACCATACTATTCTTTTCAT